GCGGGGCCCCGGGCCCCGAGGGCGGCGAGTGGGATGCGGCAGATCCGAGCCTGAACGGCGTGCGGGGCCGGGTGGAGGACGAGGAGGACGAGACGGGCTCGCCGGCCGCCCTGGAGGAGGAAGAGGAGGATGGGGAGAAGCAGGAACACGACATCTCTCTCTTCGTCAAGGTAGGGTGTGAGGGGCTGCTGGGGAAACCTGGGTTCGCGACCCTCCCCTCCTCCAGGAGCCCCGGGCAGCTCCTGTGATGAGTGGCATTTAAATCTGGCAGGCAAAAGTCAGCCTGACTAAGGTGTTCTGGTTATTAACGCCCAAAATAAACCTGCCTCTGGCTCCTCATTCCTTCCGTGGGCGGCAGGCAGGACGGGACAGGGCTTCCCGCACGGTGGCTGAAGGCCAGTGCTGCCCGTCTCCTCAGCCCTGGGAGCGGGTGGAACCACTCAACCCAGAACCCAGAGAAGCACAGACCTGACCTGTAAAGTGGTTTCCCCCATAGTTTTCCCTTGTGGGCTCTGTGCTGCGTTACTTGAGGTTTCTCTAGCTTTAAATGGAAAGGGTATGCAGGGATCTCAGTTTTGGTGGACTCAGGGGCTCTCTTCTGCCCTCTTCACTGGGGCTGGGACCCAGCAGCATCTGTTTGGAATTGCTGGCTGCGACTTGTGACATAGGGAGTTCTCAAGGGATTTTAAGATCTTCAGAACACAGTAAGAAGGACGCTCGGCACATCGTGGGGGCTGAGGTTGAAGAAACTGGAAAATATCATTCAAAAATGTGATACTGGGATTTTCCAGCATGAACTATGGTCAACATTTAGACAATTGCCCCAAAGTTTGGCAAGGCTGGATTCAGAGAGACAGTAAACTACCCAGCCGTGTAGCATCCCTTATAATTGTCCAGTTTGTGCATGTTTGGGCAGGGAAGACTTAGGTTAGAGGGAAATGGACAAAAAAGAGAAAAACTGTAATGGTCTTAAAACTAATTTCTCGTATTTTATAGTATAGAGCTTTAGAGTTTCTTCCTAGCCTGTGCCCGGAATCCCACCAAAATCAGTGGGACTTGGCATGGAAACAGCATCTGTTCACAGTGACAAAATACCAGATGTGAAATTTCTCTGTGTAGAAACCATCCTAAGGTGTTTTTCTTCCCTCTTCTCTGACCTCTCTGGACTAAATAAAGTGTGGAGCAGGGTGCAATATTTTTCTCAGAGTAGACCTAGCACTAAGGAACTAAAACTAGGGAAGCAGAAGGCGTTTGGGACCTCCACTACAAGCCATACCTCCCATGCAAATAGTGCACCTCCTGAGTTGGCCGAGGCTGCTTCTGTAGCAGCTGGAATTAACCGTGAAAGAAAAACTCATTGCCAGCCCTCTGGGTGACGGGGGTTAGGGCTGAAGTAATGTTTATGCCTTGATTTATCCCAACTCAGTGCACACTCCTTTTCTTCAAGGCTGAGCCTCCTTTGAAGTATCGTTACTTGAAAAAGGCTGAGGAATGCTCTGAGGCTTACACATAGCAGTGTCGGACGTGCTGGATAATGCTACACTGGAAAGATGAATGATAATAATGGCTGATGTTGTGATGTGTGAACGCTCCCCAGCCAGCCCCCAGTTTAAGCAATTCCTTAGCACGCAGGCTGGGACGGATTCTGTGGTCTAAAGGCAACTCTGTATGTCAGGTTGGTGTACAGTAGCTAGATGATAACGCTGGAGCCGAAATCTCTGATTTTGTGTCAAACAGCAGGAGCTGTTACTGTTGAGCCTGGCAGAGATGACTTACGGACTTTCTGGCTCACAGATCTTTGCAGGGACACTTTTGTAACTTATTTATTCTTGTTTTATGCTCTTATATCCATCAGGGAATGCCGGAGAGTGGCAGAGGGCTAAAGTCATAAAGGCTACCTGTGCATTATTGGTATATGCTTTATGGAAGAACAACGTGGCCAAAATTAGAGAGCACACTATAATAAGAGCATCTGTTGTGACTCTGTAGTCCAAATATTAGGATTAGGATATTAGGATTAAGCATGGTTTTTGAAAATATTTATGAATTAATAAAGACAGAAGAAGGAACATTTTCATGATTGACTTAGCATTAGTAACTTAAGAACACCTTGAAAATACTACAGCTGCTCTTCTAATGATTTCAGTGGAGTATTACAACGCTTGAATATTTTACCTTACCGGGAGCTAGATTATTATTTTTTTTTTAGTTTGGGATTGGCACGAGTTCCTCCAGTTCAATGCAAGAAAAAAATGCCTACTGGAGAGCTCAGCATCTCCCCACTCACCAAAATGTGCCAGGGCCACAGTGCTGGGAAATGAGAAGCACTTCTCTTTGCTGTCGGGAGAGTTCACGTTCATGCTGCTCTTGCTGTCACCTGGAGACACACTCGCTATCTTTTTGCCCTTCTCTTGGCAGCAGGAAAGGATATATAAAAAGGGAGAGACTGGAAGTTCTCTGTGGTGGCTTAAAGTAGTTTTTAAGAGCACATAAATAATGCTATGCTTAAATAGGTGCTGATGTATTTTGATGGGAAAAAGGGGGAGAGTGGATTCCAACGTGGGACGGTGTGAACTCTGGTGTTTGGGGATTACTGAGTGTCTGTGTCTGACCACAGCACGTGGTCCACAGACATGATGCTCCTCCCTGAGCAAGTGCTAAATCTCAAGGGTTAAGGAAGTGAGAAGACGATCCAAACTGAATGCAAACATTCGTTTCCAGCCTGAAACACTTCCCTTCACATGCATGTTTCTAATGCACGTGACCACCCCTCTTATGCTCTATTATATCACTGTTCTATGCCTGCCTATTAGCTCTTACGTGCTTTGGAGATGTGGACACCTGCCTCTACTTTGCAAGTGGTGCTGACCTCTTTGACCCTTCTGCTGCGTTTCTCAGCAAGCACCTTGTCTACTTTCTCCCACGCAGCTGGGGGCTTCCTTGTAAATATATTATCCATCAGCTCCCCGACCTTCTTCAAACCTCTATTTAAAATTCTACCCTTCTGTAATGCCACTGGAAACTGGGCAGTGATTAGGCTGTTTAAAATACTGAGATCACTGTTTGTCCTGTTCAGTATGACCCTAATTTCTTTCTCATCCCTATTTCTGTTTGTTTCACCTGCCTGTTGATTTTTGGCTTACTTGTAAATGGTCAAGGTGGGGACTGTCTGTCTGTTATCTGTGCCTGCATGCACAGTGCTAGAGATAGGAGGTCGGTGCTGTGATTTGATAGCACTATACAAATACAGAGAAATGTTAAAAGTAAGTCCCATAATAGGAGAAAACTCACAAGAAAATAATACAGTAGTAGTGATTGAATGATTCTTGCAGTTTCCCTGCTAGGGAGCATTACACTAGACTTGGCAGACGTTAAAGTACCTGGTAGTCCTTCAGTATAACACTTTGAGAATAACAAACAGAAGCATCGCCATCAGAAGGAAACTTCTCAGATATAACTGTGTGATGAGGAGTGTTTCTTGTTTTTACTGTTGTTGATCAAGCTTGTTCTTTTTAGAGGTTTGGGTTTTTTTCTCTTCTGCTTCCTGCTGCTTTGCATTGGTTCATTTAAACAGTGCTAGGATAGGAGGTCGGTGCTGTGATTTGATAGCACTATACAAATACAGAGAAATGTTAAAAGTAAGTCCCATAATAGGAGAAAACTCACAAGAAAATAATACAGTAGTAGTGATTGAATGATTCTTGCAGTTTCCCTGCTAGGGAGCATTACACTAGACTTGGCAGACGTTAAAGTACCTGGTAGTCCTTCAGTATAACACTTTGAGAATAACAAACAGAAGCATCGCCATCAGAAGGAAACTTTTCAGATATAACTGTGTGACGAGCAGTGTTTCTTGTTTTTACTGTTGTTGATCAAGCTTGTTCTTTTTAGAGGTTTGGGTTTTTTTCTCTTCTGCTTCCTGCTGCTTTGCATTGGTTCATTTAATTTTTCATATATGTATTTGAATATTGTGAATACCGTGTCACCTCGTGCCTCCCATGGTGAGGTGGGTGGCAAAATACCTGCTAGCTCCACAAGCATGGGTACCAGCAATTGTGCTTTTAAGCTTATTTGGGTTGCTATGCAGTGCTATGTAGTTTGAACTTGGACACCCCGGGTTCAACGTTGAGATCTCGTGCTATCTGAGATACTCTAGCACTTAGCAGGGTTAGCAGCATCTGTGGGTGATAATATCCTTCTGGACCAGTAGCTCGATGCCGGACAGGGTACAGTAAGGCATCGCCAAAGACGGCAGACATCTGTGTTTGGGCAACTGAACTGTGCCCTTAATGAAGCTGAACTACTAAGACTCCTTGGCTGTAAGAGCAAGACCGTATCAAAATTGCTTTGAGGGTTTCACTAGGTGCCTGTTTGATTTCCATTTTCCTATGAAACAACATGTGCTGTACGTTTCCTTCAGATAGTAATATTTGATGTTTCTGGTGTTTCAAAGTCAAATGCCTGCAAAGGTCATCCAGATACATTTTCCGATCGGTCTTTGGTAATTCAGCTAAGCGTATCTGGCACCCTGGGTAAGACACCCTGTGGATGTTGAAGCTTGCTTGCTGGTCTTCAGGTCAATGGTGTATGTAGGCTTTTTTTTTTTTCCTTCTGTGGCAAAAGCCCTTTATTTGTCAGAAGATGTCTGTAAATGACGTAAATTTATCTTACTATTTGAATATAGCAGAACTCTCACCAAAATGATTCCGTTAATTTTAAGGAATTTAAACATTTATGTAGGGCTTAAGAGTTTATTTCTAAATTAAAAAAAAACCCAAACAAACCTCCAAGGTTGCCTACCAATCAATTTTAAATTTTCTTACAGATAGAAAACTTAAACACTAGAATCACAACTGCAGATTTCATCATTCCAAAGATTTCTAGGGATAGTGATTTATCTGTAAGTGCTGAACACAGTCGGCCAAACAACCCAGCTTCAGCACAAGGCCTTCTCTGAGGTTGCTCATCTTCCAAAACAATTCTTGCTTAGTTTCTGGGTTAAATGGTATATGGTAAAAGCTGACCATGAGCCTAAGGTAATAGATTTTATCCAATGAAAAGTAATAGGCTTTATTCAGTTTTGTGACGTTCTTGGTCTCTAAATCAAAGTCATTTATTTTCATTCAGAGAGTTATTTCATTCCTACCAGGGACCAAGGTTACTTTACTGA